AGTATTTTCAAGCCTTGAAACTTGTTTAACAACATTTAAATCTATCCTGAACAACTTTGTTTCCTGACTTCATCTGAACTGGATCAAAAAGTACTAAGAGGTTTCAAAAGCTCAAGATTGTCAAAATCAGTAAGTTAATAGATTCTAAAAACCAAATGTTCGGGCGAGACTTTTTTATACCTTGTTTTTCGAACCCGCCTACTGCAAATATTGATATTTTTAAAATAAAAATAAAATTTTATTTTTATTTTTATTTTAAAATAAAAATAAAATTTTATTTTTGAGCAATTAGCGCACCCACCACCACAAAAAAAGGAAATTGCAGTAAAAAATTAGTTTTTTAAAATTTTATTTTGCCCTCCACCGCCTTGAAATCTCCAAAGATATACATATTTATATAAATTTTGAATATTTAACCATCCTACTTTACATTCACCAATAAAATTGTATATTTATTTTTTCCTCCGTCTGGATGTTTTAGGCAGACTCTTTGCTGAATAAAAAAACAAAATTTTATCTTTATTTTTAATCTGCCCTCCTCCGATGATCTTTAGAAGAATAAGTACAGTATGCGAAACAAGGTATAAAAGAAGTCTCGCCTTAGCTACTGATGAAATAATATCCATGTAACATAACAATGTTTAGGATTGCTGTGTGGATCTAAGCACTACATTGTTACTTTATTATTCGTAAAACCCAATCTGTTTAGCTTCTATATATATATTGAATTATAGGTCGATACTCTTATTAATAGTCCTCAACACATCCTTAATAAAATCATATTTAAGACAATCAAAGTGTTTAATACTGTAAAACCAACTAAACTTTCATGTGCAAAAAAATTTCACAAATACTGTACCATACAGAATTTTTTAATATCGTATGTTAATGAGGATTGTAATTATCATGTAATTATTAGCTGTGTCTGGCCAGCTAATCCCTAGCAGATAGGCAGATTTATGCCTGGGCTTTTCTAGCCTAGAACTCATGATACGATATTATCATCATAGATGATCTATAGTATGGTGTTCATCTCATGAATAAATTCAGGTGTTAGGGCACATAGAAAGAATTATTAGAATAATACTCCTTTAAAAAAAATGTGATGAGGGTCACAGGTTTTTTTTATAACCGCATCAATATTTCCAAATACTTAATGTGCACAAGAGTGATAATCTACAAATTTTTTCATATGTGCCCTTGTCAATTCGCGAAAGTTTCATGTCACAAAAGTTTCATGTCACAAAAAATTTTCTTGTTTTATATTAGTTGTAATGCTGTGATTTAACCTCTTTTAAATGTTTTGTGCACCAAGCCTCTTAGTTTTTACAGCCAGGCCTTGCTGAAGACTGGGTGGTTAATTCTAGGCAAATAATTGCGTTGCATTTATCTGTGATGCAATTGTGGAAGTGCTTCGCAATTAGCGTAAAACATGTCACATTTTGCGATGCGATACTGGGTAAATCGAACGCTGAAGCCCAGTAAAATACTTTATCGTAATTAAAATTAGATCTTCTTATTCACATTCACTTCACACTTCTAATGCATAATAAATGTAATAATTTGTCATAATTGTGCTGTGATGATTGTGCGTAATCCCAAAGTTGTTAGGAG